AAAAAAATCAGTGAGATGACCTGAGAAATAGATGTTACACATTTTGCATTCCAGGGATGTAAGCAGGGGTGGGGACAGGTGTGATAGAAATTTAGGGTGACCCGTGTCTGGAACTCTGGGGTGTTTGGAAATAATAAGCCCTACCCCTCTAAGGGAAAGGCAGCATCTTTATCTGGCCCCCTGGACAGGGGTCTCACAGTAGCAATGGAAATAGCTGGGTGGGGCCTCTGGCCTGGCTCTGCAGCCCCCTCTCTCCCTGGGCTTCCCTGCCCTCCACTGAGAAGTAAGAATACTGATTCTTACTCTGCAGTCAGTCAAAGCCTCCTGTGCATGGGAGTCACACACTTCGAGAAACTCTCTGGGGACACTGCAGTTTGGGACGAACATGAGAGCTGGCCTCCCGGCCTTGACACACGCCTGACGTTACCTGCTGATGCTCCACCATCACCTGCTCTACTGGGACCGCCATGCCACGCCTTCTCAGGGTGACGCAGAGGGTATCACTGCCACGCAGGAGGCTGAGTACACGTGGGTGCTTGGGAAGCTCAGCACAGCTAATAATAAGCTTGTTAGCAGGTTGCAGTAAGCAGAACGGCCACGCGGTCATTAATTTTATTAAAAGAAAAGTTTCTTGCCAGCAGACCTGAAAGGCTGGCTGGGGCCCCGGCCCTTTGGTGGGCAGAGCATCTGTACTGAAGTGGCCCGGCCGCTCCCTCAGGCATGTGTGGTGCTCGCCCGAGTGGCTGGGGCTACAGGTGCCCACTGGGGGGCTGGGAGCTCTGCCCCAGCTTATTGGCGACCACCTCCTCACCTCTTTTTCCTGCCCGACAGAGACCAGCTTTGACGCTGCAGAAGCAGGGAGAGCGTGGGGGTGTGGATGGAGGCCTGTGTGAGGAGGGCAGGGGGTGGGCTGGCTCTCCTCCACCCGGGCGTTGGTGGGGAAGAGAGACAGTGCTACTGTGTGGTTACAATCTGCCAGGATGCTGTGGGCTTTTTATGCTGTATCTTGGGTTCTCACAAGAGCACAATGAGTGAGGTGTTGTGCCCATTGTACAGACAGAAAATCTGCTTCCGGAAAGAAAGTGATCAGAGAATAAAGGCATAGGAGGCTTGCTGGGCCATCTAAGAAAAGGGTGAGGAACGGGTCTGTGAGAAAAGCATCATCAATTCCATGAGGTGACCCTCCAGAGATTTCTTGAACCAGGTGGCACACCCTCTAAAAAAACAGCAAGAGCCCTGGCCAGGTGGCTCCGTTGGTTGGAGCGTCATCGCATGCACCAAAAGGATGCAGGTTCAAGTCCTGGTCAGGGTGTGTTCAGGAGGCGATTGGTTGATATTTCTCCCTCGTGTCAATGTCTCTGTCTCTGTCTCTGTCTCTCTCCCCTTTCCTCTGTCTCTTTCTAAAATGAAGAAAACATATCCTCAGTGGAGGATTTTAAAAAGTGAGCTAGAAAAAATATGCCACAAACCAGAAGCTTTCATTGTTTCAGAGTCAGTAGGAATGGGAGATAGAAGAGTGAGGGGTAGCGAGGCCCCTGAGGGCTCCACCTGGGGAGCCCGTCCTGGGCCCTGGGTGTGAGGAGCCCAGCAGAGAGAGGGCCTGGGAGGGCCTGGGAGGGCCGGCGGGGTGGGGGGCAGCCCTGGCACCTGGGGAGGTGAAAGGCGGGCTGGGCAGAGCTGGGCCTCAGAGTTGACCAGCGAGGAGGGTGCACGCAGGGGAAGGGAGGACGACTGCAGCACTGACCGCCACGGACAGGAGCTAAACGGACGGAAAGGGCAGAGCCAGTGTCCCCCGCAGCCGCAGCCTCTGTGGCGTCTGAGTCCCAGGCCCGGGAGGCGGCCGAGGGGGCTGACTGGCTCTTGTCAAGCAAGAGCGTAGGGGGCCAGGCTGTGGGGAAGAAGGGAAAATAGAGGCCAGATGGGATTTTTCATTTTCCTCCTTCCTCTCCTCTCCTCTCCTCTCCAGTTTCTTCTGTGCATTTTTGTTCCGTCCCTCGGTTTTAGAGCCACCAACGCCGTGCTGAGCGGCGGCTGGCCGGCGGTGGGGAGGGGCCGATGCTGACCGCAGCCCCGGTGGCTCCAGCCTGAGTCTGCCCTCCGGACAAGACCGGTGCAGGAGGTCCCAGGCCGAGGGGAGGTGGAGGAGGGCTGTGCCGCTCTGTTTCCGTGGGGTTTTATCACTGTTGTTTAGTGTTTTCCTCTCCAATAAAAGTGAACTGTGTGCCATCTTGTGGCAGAGGCCTGGAACTGCCCGGGCCCTACCGCACACCTCCCTGACCACTGCTCTCCAGGGCAATGCTGCCCCTCTGGGCTGCTGGGTGCACCGGGTCAGGGAGAGCCGGACTGGAGGAGGGGGGTGGTGGCATGAGGGGACCTGGGAAGTAGTGTTGCAGGCACCGGCCTCCCTGCCTCGGGTAGATGCGTTTCTGGGAGGCCATCCTACTTCAAGCACGGAGGACGGCCGTCTGAGAAAGAGGAGTCCCTTGGGCAGTGTGAGGAGGTCGCCCTCAGAGGGACCGGAGCCCGCAGGAGTGTGAGCTCGAGGTGAGCGCACCTGGGAGCCCGCCCTGGCCCGGAGGGTGACGGAGACAGGGGAGGGGGAGGACCTCAACAGCGGGCAGTCCCCGTGCAGTGCGGCCTGGCGGGGAGGCTTCCCAGGTCAGCATCCTGTGTCACCTCAGAGTTCGGAAGACTCCGGTCGCCATCCACAGAGCACCTCGGAGGGCACCCCGGATCGTGGGCGCGCCTGCAGCGGTGTGGGTGGACAGGCCGCGGGGCGTGTCTGTGGGCTCCTGACCCAGTGAGGGTGTGGACTCCATTTGTAAGCCACAACCCTCGGGGGCCAGCCTTCTATTTGGCACCTGGACACAGCTACAGAAGTAAGAGACCATCTTAAAGCAGCCCGAAACGTTCCCTGGCTCTCTGAACTGGGGCCAGGCGCTCTGAGTCCCCACCTGGCCTCGTTTTCTGTCCGCACGCTCTCGGCCTGGACACACCCCCAGACCTCTCGCTTGCCCTCTTTGCCCGAGTGCCACACTGCCACGCCCCCTGGCGTCCCCACGCCCCTGCCGCGGCGTTTCCTCCCAGCAAATACTGGTGACCAGTGGGCGTGCTGCCCTCCGTGTTCCTTCCCAGTGAGGTCACCCCTGACTGTGACTGTGACCAGGGCAGTGACCTGTCCCGGGCCCTCGTTCTCACTGGGGTCCTCTGTCCTCACAACAACGCTGGCACCAAACACCGTGTCATCCGGCGTTCGGTCACGTACACGGAAAGCATGTGAGCCGCTCCAAGCGGGGAGGCCCTGACAAAGGGAATGTGGTGCTTGCAGAATCGTTAGAGAGGCTGTTGGAGGGAAGGTCAGGGGGAAACACCCTTGGACGTCAGGGTGTCAGGAAGTTACAGAAATTGCTAGAAATCACTGCCGCTGGCTCTCGTGGCCCACAGCGTGGGAGTGGACAGTCCCCGGGAGCAGCTGGCCCTCTCAGGTCCGCTCCTGAGCCCGCCAGCGCACACCCTCACAGCTGCACCCGGAGAACAGCGGCCTCTCCTCTGACCCAGCCCCAAGGTTCCGCCGCGTGCGCCTCTCCCGCGGGTGGCATCTCACCCGAGCGCTGCTGGCAGGCAGCTCGCTTCCAGCCTGTGCCATCCGGGGCGCACTGAGAACGCCGGGGACGAGACACGCGAGCTGACACACACTGGTAAAGACAGACGATAATAATAGTGCTTCCTTTGGGTGGCTGTCGTGGGGCTAAAATTAACACCGTGAAGTCTTTGTGCAGAGCGTAGCATATGGTGAGCCCTCCATAATTGCTGGTTTACCAGAAAGTGTCAAAACTCAAATCAGAGTGGCGCCTCGTTGTTATTTCTAACCCCTGTGAGGAAACTGGCTGCTTCTGGGTGCTGGGTCCGAGCCGCCCGCCATGGCGAGGGTCCTGTCCCCCAGCGGATCCCAGCCTGCTGGTCAGATCCGCCTTCCGTCTGGTTCTGGCTCCAAGGCTGAGTGCAGATTCAGGGACAAGGTGAAAGTTCTCGGGGAAAAGCCGTGGCAGTGACTCATGCTGACTATTAGGACTGGGGTCCTGGTGCTCTGCAGGTGTGAGTGAGGACGTCCTCTCACAGGGACCGACGGGAAGTCAGAGATGGGTCAGGTCCCCGTGGAAACACAGGTCCCTGGCCCCACCTTGCACCCCTGTCCAGAGTGCAGCCAGTGAAACTGGGGCCGAGTCTCTGTAGCCTTGTGCTCAAACGCCGCCAGCAGCCTGGAACAGGGAAGAATTAGGGCACAGCTGAGAGCCAAAAGGGAAAGGAAACGCACTGAGATCCATGGGGAACAGTGTCTGTTTCTTAATCCGTCTCCTGCCCCAAATAGCTCGGCTCTCCTCCCCCAACCTGTGTTTACGTGTATGCTTCTCTCCCTGGCAGCAGGTGCCACCAGGCCTTCAAGTAGGTCACGGAGGGTGGTGATGAGCCCACACGCACCCTCAGGCCTGTCCTCTGCTCATCTCACCCCCCAGGAGCCTGGGCCTGGAGTCACAAAGCCCGGACCCTAGATGACCTTTTGCTCCTCAGGGTGTCCTGGCAGGGTCCCTGGACACTGGAACCCCAGGGAGCGTGTAGGGGACTCTCTGTACTGCCTGTGAGTGGGCAGGGGGCCACCCTGAGCTGGAGGCAGAGAGGGCAGCCCTGGATGGTGCTGCAGCCTCCCTGCCCCGTCCTACGGTGCCCCTGCACCCCCTCCTACCACAGCCTTGCTGAGTGCACCCATTCTTCCCCAGGCAGCCGGGAGCCAAGTGTCCCTGCTGTTTCCCCTGGGAAATCAAGGGCATTATAGCTTGCCCAGAACAACCCAGCTGGAGAGCAGCAAAGCCCAGCCAGCGAGGACCCACCACACATCCCCAGCCACCTGTGTGGGCCTCCCCCCAGCCCCCCAGCCCCGTTGCCTCCTTCTGGGAACCACCTCTGCCCAGAATCGGGTCCTGACAGTACCTTTCTCTCCACAGGTTCTGTCAGAGCATGGCTACGGCCAGATCACGACCGACATCCGGGGTGAACAGACGTTCTACTACGCGGAGGATTACCACCAGCAGTACCTGAGCAAGAACCCCCACGGCTACTGTGGCCTCGGGGGCACCGGAGTGTCCTGCCCACTGGGCATTAGAAAGTAATTTCTCCCCACGCTCCTGGCCCTTGAAGTCACAGCAAAAACAGTTTCAATGCACTGGGCAGTTCTTTCGCAGCTCACGTCGGTGGCTTTTGGAAGCGCACACAGCACAGAGGCCTCCGTATAATCTGGTGTGCGGAGGTGTGATTCACACGGAGTGCCCTGGCAGGTTGATAACATGGAATTTACCTTCTAATTAGTTGTGGGGGGAGGGGAGCTGTGAGATTTTTGGATCATTTGGGGTCTGAATGAGGATAATAAATATACTCTGTTGGCTTTTCTCTGGTCTGGGAGCCCGCCCTGGAAGCTGCAGAAGGAAGGGGGCAGCTGTCGGCCGGCCGGAGCGTGCTGGAAACGCTTCACCCGAGCCCTGTCCCCCTCACATGCCCTGCGCCCACCAGTGCCTTAAAATTTGCAAACATTTATAGCCTCGGTGAATCATTCACTAAAATGCTTTGTTCTTTAACCCTGTCCATGGGCAAGGGACTCTCTCTGTCTCTGCACGGCCCTCCTGTGGCAGAGAAAATGGGAGTTAGCTTAATCAATTCTAGTGCGTTGCTTACAGCTATGAAAGTGCTTGTTCTAATAAAGTCTACAGTCTAATAATACAAGCTATGTGATGTCTCATCTGTCTTTTACTTGTTTAGGTAGGATATGTCTAAGTATTGTAAGATAAAATCCTCAGAGTTGTTCTCCCCCAAATGGGAAATAAGATTGAAATCTTTAGAAAACATGTGCACCTCCGGCTCCTTGCAACTGTAGTAATAATAACTTTTCTACACGCATGTTCCAGCTGTCACACCAGGGGCTTTTCCAGTCAGACAGGACAGGCACCTGTAGCCCCTGCCCTTGAGAGTCTTTATAGTCAAGACAAGGGTAGGGGGCAGAAGCCACAAACATGTAAACACACAAATAAATAACTGCAGGCCCTGAGAGATGATGAGAAGGGGACCAGAAGGACACGGCAGGTAGTTGTGTCTGGGCCTGTGGAGCTGCCCTAAGGTCTGGTGTAGCTTCAGGGGTCAGGGGAGGCCTCGGGGAGGTGGTGACACTTAAATGGAGAATTGAATGATCCTAATGTGGCAAAGGAGACACGCGAACACAGGTTCGGGGGAGAGAGCAGAACTGTTTGGGGCAGGAGACAAGCAAGGAAATAGACACGGTTCCCTGCGTAGTTGGCCTGTTTCTCTCGTTTCCCTCTTGGATGTCTTTTGTGCCCTACGCACAGGTGGGCCTAGTCACTGTCCGCACCCCCACCTGGGTTGCTGGGAGGAACTGCTTTCTGAGTAGAAGGACCAGGACATAAAAACGGCCGAAGACAGCAAGGAGTGTGTGCTGATGGAGAAACAGAAAGTCCGTGGAATAGTGTGACGTCTGGAGGGTGAAGCCCCCATAACAATATTAGTGCCTTGTATGAGCGGTCCCCGACATTTTTGGCACCAGGGACTGGTTTTGTGGAAGACAGTTTTTCCATGGACTGGAGGAGGGGAATGGTGTGGGAATGACTCAAGCACATTACATGCAAGCTCACCTCCTGCTGTGTGGCTGGTTCCTAACAGGCCCCTGGTCTAGTACTGGTCTGCACCGGGGAGGTTGGGAACCCTCAAAGAAAGGGACAGGAGCTCCCTCTGTTGGTCATGGGGGGGCACAGCAAGAAGGTGGCTATCCACAACCTAGGAAGCAGACTCTTAACCACACACCATGTGGGTTGGCACATTGATCTTGGACTTCTCAGCTTCCAGCACGGTGAGAAACAAATGTATGCTGTTTAAGCCACCTAGTTGATGGTATTTTTGTTATAGCAGCTCAAGCTGACAAAGACAGGCACCCCATGACGGTATCTCTTTGTGCCTCCAGATTCAGACTCAGCTCTTCTTCATCTTGTTCTTGTGCTCTCGCTTTAACTTGGATCTGGCCAGTAGGACGCTCTGGCAGGAGACTGAGGGTGGGAGATGAGTGAGGTCAGGGCATTTGCTGTCCCTGCAGATCCGCATGGGCTGGCAGCGTATGGGGGTAGAAGCTCCACACTGTAGCTTGTTGTGACCTACAATGCCATCTTTCTGGGGTTCACCTGGGCCGTGTTCACTTTGTACTCACTCGCTCTACAAATGAGCCTCTCCTCGATGATCCACTTTGAGTGTGCCATCGGTTTCCTGACGAGACCTCACAGACACCCGTGGGGAAGGTAAACGTTCTTCCGTAATTAATTCCAAAAATTATTATAAGAAGATGCTCTTGTTCTAAGTTCATGTCAATTAAGTAAGAATACTTTTAAAATACTGTATTTTAGTATGTAAAAATGCAGGTTTTAGAGCTGGAAGGGCTTTTACTGATAATTCGGGTGGCTGCCCTCACCCTGTAGGTGAGGGAGCTGAGGACCCAGGTCGCCACCAGCCCATGCACGTGTCAGAGCCCACCCACTCCTGTGGTTGCCCGGCCATGGGCCCCCAGGGAAGCCTGATCCTCTTCTTTAGGAGACAGAGACTAGAGAATATTTGAAGACTGAACTTATTCTCCCCAGATAATCTTTTCTAGGCTAAACAGCTTTCTAGTTTCCTGCTAAAATCCTAATTCACACCTGCTGGCCGGCAGGGCTATGTACTCTGGGCCCAGAAATAAAGGTCATTTGTCTAAGGTTCTGTTGTCTAACATGGGAGCCACTAGGTACAAATGGTTACTTTAGATTTAAATTAATTACAATTAAATATAATTAAAAATCTAAGTCCTCAGTTGCACCATCTGATTTCAAGCACTCATTCGATAGTCACAAGTGGCCAGGAGCTGCCATGTTGGATCTGCAGGTGTGGAACATTTCCGTTATCACAGAAAGGTCTGTTGGACGGCTCTAGAGCAAAAGGGAGCTTGATGGGACTTGTATGTCCTTTGATTTTATGATTTCCTGTTACTAATGCGGTCATTTCACTGGCCCATAGGACGACTGAAAGCCTAAGTATTTTTCATATGCACTAAGACAGAGCTCTCCAACCCCAGTCTTATACCCTTGATCTATCATCATTTTAACCTTTGTTATAGGAACGTACATTCACTCTTTGTTTTGTTTACTTAGGCCTTGCATTTCAGTTTGTTAAAATAATTTAATTTAGAGTCTGACATCTGAAATAATTGCTTCCCTCTCCTAGTTCTGTGTCATGCATGGGCTTCATTAGCATCTCCTCAATATCTTCTTGAAAGTCATTATGCAAAATATCGAACTGGGCAGTTCACTCAGAAAGACGTGTCACTTGTTCAAGGTCTTAGAGCATCTATTACACTTGGCACTCCTTGGCACTCCGCTGCCACTCCTGACCCCTCCTCCCTCAATCTCTACGAGAAATTGCTGCTAGATTTCATGCCTGTCCCTGCTGAGCCCAGATATGCCTTCGGAATTCTTCTCCACAAAGGACTTTGGGCAGCCACTGCCGACCAACCAGACATGGTGTTCCAGGTGAAACCCCTTTTCTTCCGTGCAGACACCAAGTCTTTGACTAATGCTTGGGCTATAATGTCTCAACCAATTGTAAATTCACCTAAAAGAGCAATTCTATAAACAGATATTATTTTAGCCACAGTGGAGTAATCAGAGAATGGGGCAGATGCTTTGTTGACATCTAGAAACACCATAGAAGCCAATGGAGAGGTCAACCAGAGGAAGGCAGACCTGCCTGAAAATGCTACATCTGCCCCTATAGGGTGAATGACATCAAAAAGGTCATGTGATCTCTCTCAGACTCAGTTTCTCGGAGTGTAAGATCCCAGTGAGATACCATGCTAAATCGGTTGCAATGTCTAAAGTCAAAAAGACTGGCGTGTCAAGCATTGGTAAGGATGTGGAGGAACTGGAAATTTCATATGCTGCTGATGGTAACATAAAATGTTACAACCACTCGGGCAAAGAGTCTGTCAGCTGCTTAAAAAATTAAACATGCACCTTTCGTATGACCTAGCCACTTTATGCCTAGATATTTATGCAAGAAAAATGAAAACATGTGTACATGGGAAGACTTGTACATGAATTCCAAGGGAGCTTTGTGTGCTGTGGTCACCGACTGAAAACAACCCAAGCGCCCATCAACGGGTGATGGAAAATAAACATGTTGTCGTACATTCCCACAGTGAAGTACTACCTAGTGATATACAGGAATGAATCGCTGAGACATGCAACAACATGGTGCATCTCAATATGCTTATGCTGAGTGTAAGAAGAAAGGGAAAGACAGAGAGACTGAGTGCTGTGAGGGTCCAGTCATGTGCAATTCTAAAGACGCAAACTAATCTGTACAGACAGAAAGCAGATTGCCTCAGGACTGAGTTGCAGGGAGGATATGGAGTGGGATCATTTGATACTGATCAAATAATCAAATAACAAATTATATAATATAATATTACAAGTGGGCTGACTATTCTGTTTTATGAATCTATGTATCTGTCTTTATGTCAGTACTACACTCTCTTGATTAGTATAGATTACTAGGTAAGGTTATTTTTTCACTCATTGGTCAGACATTAATTGTTGACCTGCTATGATCAATCACTGGATTAGTTTAATACACAATTAATATCTTATATAATACACATTTTATTCTGTTTAGCAAATTAATCATAACAGTAAACCTATTTCAAAATTTGTACTCAAGAAATGCATTGATTTTTAAATAAAGTGATGAAAAAATTAGACTTTTAAAAAGTTATGCATGCTCTTGGCATGGGATGATGTGGTTCAAATTCACGGCCCAGTCATGCTCACTGCTAGGACCATCTTAGAATCAGGGAGTGTGACCGGTGAGAATCAGGGGAAGTTCTGAAATTCAAGCCCCTCTCTGGTTTCAAATAAGGTACTTAAATGCTCCTGTCTATCATTCAGCATGAATATTCTCTCAAGGTTGAGTTTGTTCTTTATTTTAAGAAAAAAAAGTGCTACGAACAGTCAAAACCTATTTTTTCTGGCCCTGACAAGTTCACACAAAACCATCACACAGAGACTGCATCTTCCAAGCAGCCTTCACAGGGCCGCTTGGCCTGTGACTGTCACCGGGAGCGGCCCACAGCCCTGGGAACAGGACCACCCTGGGCTTCGGGAAGGGACACAGGGAGGATCTGCTCTCCATAAAAACTCGGGTGTCAACACAGTTGTTTTTAAATCTCTCTTTGGAAATGTAAGCTTTTTTTAAAGCTTTTTATTTATTTATTTTTAGAGAAGGAAGGGAGGGAAGGGGTGGAGAGAGAGAGAGAGAGACATCAATGTGCGGTTGCTGAGGGCCGTGGCCTGGCATGTGCCCTGACTGGGAATCGAACCTCAATACTTTGGTTCTCAGCCCGCACTCAATCCACTGAGCTATGCCAGCGAGGTCACAAGAAATGTAAGCTTTAATAGGGGTATCAGGGGACTAAAAGTTAATGGGGAAAAATACAATAAAGAGTAAATTTTTAAAAATTTTTAATAGTTTATATCTTCACTTTCAAGTGCATTAAATCAGTATATACTCTTAAGCAAAATCAGATAGTGTAAGTTCTCCAACTTTGTTCTCTTCTAATGTTGCTCTTGAATTTTAGAATCAGCCTGTCAATTTCCATAGAAAAGAATCCTCCTGGGATTTCAACTGAGATTACATTTACTC